AACCTCTCTTCAATACAGCTACTTCTGATTGACTTCTTCCAATGCTATTATTTGCAATGCAGCGATATTTTCCATAATCTTCCATCTCTACCCCTGTAATCAACAGCTGGCTGCGAATAGTTCGGTTGTTTTGAATAACTTTTGCTCTGGTGTTAGATTGTACAGCATGTGAGGCATCGTCCTTCATCCAATGGATGCTTGGCCTTGGAAGACCATTAGCAGTGCAGGTGAAAATGGCATCGGAACCGATGGAGACACTTTGGTTCTTTGGACCCTTAACAATCTCAGGTATTTGGCCATCTGAAAAATAACGTTGAAGCTTTTGAGTGAATGCATCTGACGCTGTAAGCTGTTTTATTTACGGGCGTTCTTTGTGATGTCGGTGCCAGCTTGTTTGGCATCCGAAATAACTTATTTGAAGAATACTTAATGTTAAGGAAATTATTTTTAACAAGTAGTCAGACAAAGTGTAGGAATCCGCTGAAATAAATTCACCACTGCGCATGTGCATGTCTCACCTGAACCTTTCCGTGTTAAGAACCCTGGCAATGACAAATTTTTTCCAACGACGCTTTCTGCCTTACATTGATATTTTCCAAAATCTTCCATCTTCACTCCAATAATTAACAGCAGCTGGCTTTGAATGCTTTTATCGTCCATAGTACTGTTAATGAATTTTACCCTCAGGTTGGACTGTAAGGCAGATGAATTATTGTTCTTGATCCATGATATGGTTGGTTTAGGGAAACCTGAGGCGGTGCAGTTGAAAGTTACATTGGCCCCTATATCAGCACTTTGGTTCCGAGGAACTCCTATTAACTTAAGCGCAGCACCTGAGAAAAAAGTACATTGCAATAAATATTCCCTGTTATCACTGAGATAATCTGGTTTTGCATATTCCTGTATTTACAATACAGGAATATCAGTTGCATCTAGACTTTATCTAGACTTTGCTGACCACCCCTTTATGGTCATATTCTTGTGTTCGGAGAGAACATTTTAAGGCATAGTGTCCCTTACCGGAGTAGGTACGTCCGCATTTTTTTTCCTTTTATTACTATAAGTTTATTTTTTTTCTTATCACAAAGCGTCACTGATAAAATGCATTCATTAGTTTATTTATGGTTTACAGATCTAGAATCGCATCGGTGAGAATCACCTGCTCATATCATGTAGTAAAATGTGCATGAGAGCAGTGAATGCTCCTGTTTAAATTTTTCGTTTTGCAGTAAACCCACTTTTTGTCACTTATTACAAAAGCAGTTAAGTTATTCGTTTTCTACTTGTAGAATTTCTTTTTTGATTGTCGCTTTTCGTGCCCTGTTAGCCAACCGCCGAAAAAATGAACTCTACGGAACTTTCCTTCACCGATAAGCTATACCTACTATATTTTGGACTTGCTTATCTGCCCACCTCAAAGGTTTTTTTTAGATTCTAATTATTTCAATCGCAACAAAACTGAATGCACGGCACCCACCTTTACATAACAGAACGTAGTATGTCTACCTTCCATTAGGGGCATGCTAAGCCTGATTTGCTTACCTTGGATCCTTATATTAAATGATTTCCTTGTGCAGTGATTTGGGTAATCATTGCCTGATTGGCAAGTGTAGTTGCCAAATTTGTCAACTGTCAGATTTGTGAGCACTAATTGGCAGCTGTATTTTCGGTCACGCTTTTTGTGATCAGGTTGCTGGCACTGAGCTTCAACTTCATTACTCTGTGGACCGTACCACCGGATGTACTTGACCCATCTACTTATGTGTGAAACATCTTCCGCTCTTGGCTCTGCCTTGCAAGTCAGGATTATGGAGGCACCAATGGGGAAACTGTTGTTTTCTGGACTTGAAGATATGTTGACCACGGGTTTCTCTGCGAGGGCGATAAAATTAAACCGATTATCCCTATTTATATATACAGCCGTTCTGAAAAATGTTGCATTGCGAGGAGATATATGAAATATAAACAAATTTTCTTTTTCCGTTACAAAGGTGTTGGCAGAATTAATTATGTGGAAAATTTTCAAAAGGAAAGTACAATAGCTGCTGTCAAAATGGAAGAAAAGGTATTGTTCCTCTTATAGGAAATCTACATACAGCGTGCATCTCCTTTTCAATAAATATATATAAATATATATATATATATATATGTTATATATATATATATATATATATATATATATATATAACTAGCTGCAGACAGTACTGTTTCATATTTATTTTAGAACTGAGTTATGGAAAAAACAAAGGGACTGCGCTTTATCTCGACAAGCCTGTTTCGTGATCAGGTCACTCTCCAGGGGATTTTAATGTATAAAGACGTAAATAGATAGTTTGATAAAATAGATAGATTTCTACATACATACACACATTCATACATGAATAATTACACGATACATTAATATTTAAATACATACAAGAAAATGGTCTTTAACCAGGAAGTTCAAAAGTAATTATGATTACTTACCTTGTATATTGGGACCGCATTTTTCACCTCTGACGAATGGACGATTCCATAAAGCGCCGGTAAGAGTTAACAGTACTAAACACGTCGACGCTTCTCGAAGCGAAAAGTTATCCATTATCATGAAAAGCTGACAATTTGGTAGTCTGATGTTTCAAGTGACCTGCAGGCTGGACTATTTTAAGTTAAAAATAAGTATCACCTAAATTCATACGCTCCAGTGGTAAAGAAGAAGAAGAAAAAAAGAATAATATAAGTTAACAATTTTGCTTTTTTCACACAAAACTATGGCCCAAAGGTAATATCGGAACGTCTTCCCCCCCAAAAAATCATTTCCTTGCGTTATTTTATCTCAAAACAAGATCAGCGTCTTTTCATAACCTCACAGATCATTTGCAGGGACCTTCAATTCGCGGCTGTACCCTTGTAAAATCGTCAACAGTGACAAACAAGATCCAAGCTGCAAACTTGAGTTCAATTCAACTAATCTTGAAGGTGATACATCGTAACATGCATCGTGCACAAAAGTTAATTGTCCATGTTGATAATGACCTTCCGCTCTAAGTGAAAAAGAAATTTCAACAGAACTTATCATAAGAATACGGTATTTTCGGCTTGTGAAGAACTTTGTGCCAGGCGGGTTGACTCGGGTGAATCTGCCTTTAGGGTAGAAAGACCGCTATAAACTTGAATAAGGTAGATGGCCTGCAGAAGGACACGATATACCCTCCCGATGATAAAATTTCTTCACGTTTTATCATTTGCAGGTCCAGCACAGGCGTCCAAAGTTCACTTTTCGGTAAAACCAAAGGATTAATTCATGAAAGCACCATACGTTGTGTGACTCGGTATTAAGTTAGGAGAGGAACCGTTGAGAATTTGAACACGTTGTAAGAATAGTACGGGGAACGAAATATGATCGATTTATGAATATTTCGAAATGTGAACATTTTACACGTCAGATTATAACTGGAATAACGGTGATAACAAAACAAGCTTAAAACGGCAGAGAACGCCGGAAACCACAACGGACACACAAGATGTGAGTAAGTTCTAATTATTTTACAAGTGTAAAATCATTAGATTTTATAAGCAAATTTTCACGTTTCCTGATACATAATTCGGTTATTTTTATCGCTTTTACACAAAAAAATCCTAAAACCGAAGTCATCAAATCTTGACGTCTAAACAAGTACCGCCAGACTCAATTTATGCGAGTGGATGATCTTATTTGATCCGTCTGGCGGAGACTCCTATTAAAGAAAAACGTCTGTTGCGTTTGTCAAAACGTCAGTCATTACCAGGGACAACAGTTTGTTCCGAGCTTCTCAGCTTTTGCTTTCCCGCATAAATTAAAATTTTCTAGCAATTTTTCAATTTTAGATAAACGTAGGAATGATTTAGTCGTTACATAATTTACTCGAAACCTCGATTTAAATGTTATTCATCATGAAAATTTCGAAATCTTCGAAGATCAAGGAGTAACGACATGTATTTTTCACCTGTTTTCTGACATCTTAAGGAAATTTTTTGCAGCATTTAAGACAGCTCGTGATGATTCAGCGCTCTTATATAAATTGGAGGGGAATACTTTGTGAACCCGTGTAGTACAATGAGCTCACATTGTACTGGAGATTTACGAAAGAAACGTCATTTTAAGTTTCGTCTTTAAAATGGAATATTATGACGACTGTGGTAAATTTCACATTGGTATTAGTTTGTTATTCGTAGAAGCCAAAAGTTGATCGCTCCAATTTTTTCTCCATCATATGGATGCATACGTTTGGCCACCGTAGTAATGAAAACATGGTGGAAGTTGAAATAATAATTTTTTTCATATTGAAGGAATAATATCCAAAACGGAAATCGTTAGCGAGATAAGGCATTTGTCTCTTGGAAGTAAGCCATAAGCTTATCACAATTTCTATTTTAAAAATACACTTTTCACTTTTGATATTTTTTTTCATATTGAATGAATGATATTCAAAACGTGAATCGTTTGCGAGATAAGGCATTTGTCTCTTGGAAATAAGCTTAATGTCACAATTTTCATTTTAAAAATACATTTTTCTTTTTTCAGCATGAGAATGCTGGCGACAAAATTGACATTTCGAATTTAGTGGGTAAACACGACACACTCCAGTCTACTCGTTTGAAATTACTGATGCGCGGCTGCGACAAATTGTCACAAAAAAGAATAAAACCATGCTACGTTATCGGTCGCTAGACTAGAGAATGATTCATCACATCAAATGGTGAATACTACGCCAATGATAATCCTTTGGAGAACAAAGCAGGCGCAGTTCATATAGGATTGCAATACAATGGGTAAATTACCCTTTACTGAGATTGATCTTGTTGTCTACAATTGGAGAAATTTCACCTTAAAAATAGAGTCGTTTTACTTAGGACAATTTGAATTTAATTGTTTTGTCGTAAGATGACTCGTAACAAAGGTTCATATACATGGACTGATTCAAATGTTTGCCATATTTGAGACTGATCATGGTAAATTATGGTAACGATTACGAATAAATATTAGCGAACATTTAACACTTCTGGATGTAATGTCCTAGAAAAACACTGCAACCAGTACTCATCCACTAGAATTGCACGGAATACGATCTCACTAATAGTCTCAAAACATTGATCCAATTCTGTATCCTTTCAAAGTCGTAACTCGTATTATATTAAAACAATCTCTTGTTTTCAAAGAGGATGCAAAAAGTCATAATTTAAGAACTCTTTTGTTCATAAACTTCATAAACTTACCTTTGGGTAGCTGTTAGACTCGTTCACATACCATGTATTAGAAGGCAGTAAAACTAGTGATAGGGCTCCACAAGGAAATTGTGCGTGCATCCGTGAGTTAAAAATAAACATGATCATATGAAGTGACATTTCTATTGGTAATAGAATACAACTAAGCAGATGTCACATGAGGACAATGAAGGTAGAGCGACAATTTCCAAGTGAGTCGCTAAAAGTTGGACAAGATCGAAGATTTTTTGCAAGGGCTGTTTCTCAGCAAACTGTAGAATGCTACTGTTATCTAATTTACAAAATGGTATCTAGTGGATAAGAGTAAAAAAAAGGAAGATGTGTGCGCACGCTGACGAGCGATCGGTGCGTGGGAAAGTTCTTTGCGCGTTGGATGATCTCAAACAACAAGGACCAGCTGTGTTTCTTCCAATAAATTATTTCATATTCACATTCATTTTTTCTATTGGTTGGAGTTTCTTTATTTTATCGTTAGACAGATGCACTTCCAGAGTTCAGAATCATAAATCGAAAAAGAAAAGAACAAACAAAAAACTGCCTCCTTTCCTTTTCTTACATGTCCTGGTAAATACCGGTTTTTGCGATATTGCCATTTGGTCTCTGAAACTTTGACGTGGTCGCTACTACTAAGCATATTTAAGCATTTAAGCATAATTTCTACATAAATTGTAAACGGGAAACATTCATACCTATCTAGGCCTATGATATCTGTCAACTTGTTAAATGTCGAAGTAGCGCTCATTTCATATGCAGGCAAATAGTGGGAAGCACTTTGGAAAGGAGAGCCACGTCGACAACCTCCCAGTCAAACAAAGCTAGGCGGTCTATATCATATTTGTTATACTCTGTCTGTAAGTCCTTTGAGCACAGGCGTCCCAAGCTCACGTCTAGAGAGAAAGCAGAGGATTGATTCATGAAAGCGTCACGCGTTGTGTGGAGCGGTGTTCAGTTATGCAAGGAACCGATGAGAATTGTAATGAATTATTAGGGAATAGAATTGGGAAAAGAAATATGTTCGGTTTACAATGCTAGATATTTCGAAATGTAAACATTTTACTCGTAAGATTAAGAAAACTCGTGGTTTCCGGCGTTCCCTGCCGTTTTATGCTCTTTTTTGCCATCGGTCTTATTCGTTATCCAGTTAAATCGCACCTTGGTTAGATCGCTTCAAGATAGTTTGCTCCAGCCAAAAGTTAGATTGCTCCACTCAAAATTTAGATCGGTCTATCAGATAAGTTACTTCGCTCCTAGCATAAATTACTTCGCTCCATATTTTAGTGTGAAGTATTACTTACCACTGATCTTTATTGGTGATGATGTGTCTTGAGACGATTCGAGTACATTGTATTCACTCTGTCCTTCAGATTAGTTATCGAACTACAGATGTATAGCGATGATGGAATGGATGAATGATCGTCGAATAATGTATAGCGATAAAGTCTGAAGTGTATTGAAAAAGATCATTCAAATACAAATACTGTTCAGTGTGTCCTTTTTTGCTCTTTGATAGAATGAAACTTATATCCTCCATCTTTAATTAATAAAGTAGATTACACTTAAACTCATCTTTCATCCAGCGGCGTAAATACCGAGACTTTCGACCTCTGGGATCAGTGAGTCAAACTAGAGATCCGCCAGCCAGCCACTCAAAGCCTGTTCGTTCCTGTTTTGTCCTGTTTGAGAGCAGCAGACAGCCGAAGCATCACAAACAAACGGCTTCTTTAAGAGCCACCGAATGAAATAAAGTTAATGACCAACAATGACTATGATTTCTTTCAAAGAGCGGACATTTTAAAAGCGTTGTCAAACTCAGACCCGTGCGAGACTGGGTTCGACTTCCGTTAAAAATGGCGAGTCTTTCCTCGTGCAACAAAACTCTTTTCTTCTATCAACCTCCAACCTTGATTTTCTATATTTTGTACTGTCTGCATTGCTGTTCTTCCTCTTAGGCTTGTAGTTGCATGAATTCAGAACAATAAACTATCAAGGCACTGTACCTGTACAAGAGAGAACGTGTTGACCCTCATCTAAGATAGAAAAGGGACAAACAAACAAGGGGCTAGAATGAGACATTCTGACTCTATCGCCTGATATTTTGACTTTAACTGTTGAACTGTCTTGGTGATTGAATTCCTTCAGCTACAGCAAAAAGGAACATATCAACATCTTGGATGATATTAATAGTTACGATTACTCACTCTTCATTTTTTTTTTATAACAAATAAGCAAACTATTCCTAACTATCACTCAAGTGAACATTTAAACTCTCTCATAGTTTTACTTACATCACGTCTCGGCTCGTATTTTTTTTGCCTCAGTCTACCGCTTGTAATTAAG